AGCAGCTTAATGGAAATCACAGCTGGGTATATACACATAAAAAGAACAAGGTCCATAGATGCATCTTTCATTATTTTAAAGAAGCTAAGTATCTATTCTTGAAGGTGAGCTGAAATCTGTCCTTCATAGTGAGAAGTAGTAGTGAAGGAAATCCTGAAATAAAATCTTGAATTTACAGGGAGCACACAGGTAGCTGCATATCCTGGTGTTTGTTAAATGCCAGTGTGTCACTTTAGTTCACGTATTTCCTCATTTATGTCAACTGTTGTTCAGAACTAAGGCGGTCGGAACGACACTCCTGTTGATTGTTTGTATTGGCCTTAAGCCAGGCATGCACAGGCATTAAACATCCTTAACTTGTTACTTGGTGTATGGCCATACTGCATTAAGGGTGGGAATCTCTAGGCACCTCATGATTCGATTCTGATTCAGAGGGTTTCCCCAACCCCATACTGGATGCAGTTTGGATTTAAATCGTCACAAACATTTATCTGGTCGACAGGTAACAGAGCTGGCATAGTGCTCTCGTCTACTTGGCCTATTCAACAGCACTGTCCTTGTGTTGGCCCTCTGAATGGTCGCTTATTTTGCTAAAAGGTGTGATTTTTGTCTTCCTTAGGACAACCAGTTAACGTCTCTGCCACTGGACTTTGGCACATGGACTAGCATGGTCGAGCTTAACCTGGCCACCAATCAGCTGACAAAGATCCCAGAGGACGTCTGCGGTTTAGTCTCTCTGGAGGTGAGTAGCTCACCTGGTAGATCGTGCACCACGTGTCCTTACCACAGTGTAGGGGTGGGAATCTGTAGGCACCTCACAATTCCACTCGATTATAATTCAGAGGTCTGCGAGCGATTATAAAAACGATTATAGAAGCATCTTTTTTCTATTTGATTTCTGGTAATTACTATGCCATTAATTTGAACATTAATATCTAAAAATAAATCTCGTGCTTAGCTTAAAAGGACCAACTTGCTAATTTACTTAAACTGAAATTTTAACTAGTATATAAGGATGTACAGTATATGTACAGGACAGAGCTGTAAAGCACTTTGACTTGTACCTGATGTTCTCAACCATGGACAAGTAAGTAGTAATGACCTACAGCTAACATTAACGTTTACTTTGTTACTGATTTAGCTGGCGTTACATAGCAGCCAAAACACGTGCTGTCTAGCTAGCAGAGATGTTAGCTAGTGCTAACAACCTTCGCTTTCCAGCTGTTGTGAAATGACAGACTTTAATTAACTGTCGCACTGTGAACTACACTGGATGTTTACTGCCAGACTGACAACTTTCTGCTAATATTTCTGCTAATATTTCTAATAACCAACTTTCACCGTCACTTTCTGCCACACACTTCTATACGCTCGCCCACTCATTCGCCACACACACAGAGCATTTTGCAGAGAAACACAGAGAGAGATGTTATCTGATAATACGTTAGCAGTCACGCAGGAAATGTTACACTATGGAGCAGAGTGAATGCATGAGTACAGGTTTCACTCACTAACGTTAGTTTCGTTTTCGACCCACATGCAGCGCACTCGAAAACTGAATCACAGCGTTTATGAAACGTACTGCTGATGGGAAAGTCAGCAGAGACCCATACAGGGAGAGAGACACAAAGAGGCGGAGCAAGCCGGCATGTTTGCAGTGAGAGACAGAGGTGCGGGCTAGGTGTGTGTAAGCGTGGGGAGAAGAGAAGAGGAGCAGATTAAAGTAGAAATAAACACTAAACTAAGGTGGAAAACTACCTACAATAACCTACTGTCAATACAAATACGATATACACTACTACTGAGCCCACCCCCCACCAGCCGCCGACGCCGGCACAGTTGCACTGTTTTAGGTTAATTAATGGTAAAGGCTCCGCTACACCAAGTGTTTCTGTTGCACGGAATGAAACTGTTGCAACTTGCACAAACAAAGTTACACGAGTGGTACACCAGCTGAAAGGGCCGTGCTTATCAGAGACATGGAGGCTACTACTATACACTGGCTAAACTATGGCAGAGGGACCAAACTGTGAAGCTTTATTTTCACCAAAGAAACTGCTGAACTCGGCAGTGTGGGAGAATTTCGGGTACACCAAGACTGACCAGGGCGTTATTTAGGAGGTGACTGATAACCTGTTAAAAACTTGCAGTTAAAAGGTTGCTGCTAAAGGAGCGCTGCAGTACCTGCGGTATCACCACCCAGCTTTGCACGCCCAAGTAAAGGTAATGCATAATAACTGAGTTAAATAACGTGACGTGTTGGTGGATAATTAAATATAAATTGTCACTTAACAATCGATGCCATAGCGGTGAGAGTCGAGCTTTCAGTGCAACGCAAACAAACAAAGCAGGTGTAACCTTTCCGACGCACTACAACAACAGGACCGCTGTATGAGGCCCATTCATTTTTAATGGCTTGTGCGATGCTACGGCGGTTTGTTGCTGCGTCGAGTAACATGCACCTCACGGTGAGCTCGTGCGCACGCCGCTGTCAAAGTAGTTGAACTTTTGCGCTGAACCCAGCTTCCAAAATCTTCTTTTCTCAAAGGGCCTTTGTGGAAGAACGTAGTCCTCCTTCAGTCACTGAACATTTAACGTTACATCCTGTTGCCTCCTCCTGTCTGTGTTGAGAAAATATTGCCAGGTGTAAAACACTAACATAACACAGGAGCTGATAGACCTACAGGACTATACCAATAAACTGCATTTCAGTTATTAATAACACTGCATGAGAGATGTGTCAATTTCTCACATCATTTTCACTCAAACTTATACGATGAATGAGAGTTGATGACAAAACAGTTCAGTTTTATTCCCCTCCTTAATAACAATTTCTCCTGGGGGATAAATTAAGTTATATCTCATATTAATAATACTTACATATTATATAAATCTAATTGTTTATGTAATTAAATATTAAAAATCAGGACGTCAGACACAGAAGGGCATAGAGAATCCGGTCGATTTTCAAAATAAAACACCTTTTCCAGACACTATCGTACATCAACATAAACACCATTAAAACAGACCCAAAAAAGAGACAATTTAACTATGTAGCTACTTAACAATAGTAGAAGCAAAAATCAAGGACAACTGAACAAGTAAGCAAAATCTGAACAGTCAACAACGTGTAGGCTACACGCTCAGCTGCTGAAACACTTAAGTGTGAGTTGCGCTGGACAAAACTACGGCACAGCTGCTGCCTCTGTCCGTTCGGCTGCTCCATTATCCCACACGTTTCCTCTATATTTCGAGAATGATGTGATGATTCTTTGTCAGGGGTGATTGCATGTGTAATCATGCCAGACTGTTACATTAAATCCAATTGTTATTGTGGAAAAAAAAAACATTATTGTCTTCACTCCTCACAGGTGTTAATATTGTCAAATAATCTTCTCAAGAAGTTGCCACATGGTATTGGGAATTTGAGAAGCTACGGGAGCTCGACTTGGAGGAAAACAAGTTGGAATGTCTACCTAATGAATTGCTTATCTTAAAGATTTACAGGTACGTTTTCCAGAAATGCAGTTCTCTTATTTATACCCGAGGCTCTTTGTTATTGGTGGTTTACAGAAGTTTGTCGTCTGGTTTGTATCGTGCAATGGGAACGGCAATTATTAGAAATACAGGAACATGTTCCATAATGGTTTTATCCACCTTTTGTTCTCACTTCCTCAATCGTAGCAGCTGTTTTTACTTTTAAAGGCATTGAAAGGCAGTCCGTGGCTTAGGAGGCTTGTAAGTGGATTTCAAAATAGACTTTAGCAACTCCTGTGGTAGGATAATAAAAGAACTGCAGCAGATGGCGATGCATGCCTTTAAAGTTGCTGTAAATAAATGTGGATTTTAATAACGGTGTGCTTTAATAAGTCTACTAATTAGAACAAGGAACTAATGAGAACCAGAGCCAAATCCTTTGTTATAAACAAATAATTTCAGTTTTAAGGAACAGGTTAGTAGACATGCTTTTAGCCATAATATGTAGCTAATCATCCACAGTTAGTCTCTTTTAGGAACAGACAGTGTTATTGGATAACTGGGTGATAAATGGTTAGATTGTATTGACACCAAGAAGGATATTTTTTTTCCACATTAATGTTTGGTAACTTAATCTAAGGAGCCATTTTGATTGGGAAATGCAATTCTCATTTCAGCAAACCCATAGAGCACATAATAAACTTCCTGCGCTCCTGTTCTCTCATTAGAAATTGGTGCTGACAAATAATCAGCTGAGTACGTTACCCAGAGGCATCGGCCACCTCACCAACCTGACTCACCTTGTTTGGGGGAGAACCTGCTGCAGCACCTTCCAGAGGAGATTGGTATATTCCCCTCAAACCTCCAACTTCTGAAATCGTAACATGCTCCGTTAATCTGTTCAGGGATGTTATTAACATGTACGTAGTCTTATAGTTAAGAGCACAAGTTGACTAACCTCGAATATCTACTATCATTTATTTTTATTTGTGCTATCAACAATATTGGAAGAGCTGGTTCCCCTTTTTGAATATTCCTTTTACAAATGAGTTCTGTGTAACGTTGTTTCTTGATAAAAGCCAACTTAACCGTAAGGATTTAGAGCTTAACAGTCCACAGTACGTCCCACCTCTGACCCTTCCTCCGAGTGATTGGTCCAACATGGCTAGGCTGGTTACTGCTGAGGTTAAGCTTGAGGCCCCAGATTAAATCGGATGGAGAAAGGAACTAAAGGAGGTTGTATTTTAGATTATTCAGACTGGACCCAGAATTTAATTGTACATGTGGCTTGCGTGTATAGGTTGCCAAGAGGACAACTATAGTATGACAGTGTAAAATGTATAAACATTATCACTCATAGTTGTCATGAAAAAAAAAAAGAGAAGGAAGGAAGACCATACCAGTTCTTCATCATCGCGTTCGGGCCATTAGTGATTTCCTGTGAGCTGGTTTGTGGTTGCTTTTTTTTGTATCGGTGCAAATACATGTGCTGGGATTTAAATTAAAGGGCCCACTAGAGTGTTATATTTTTTAACCATATCATGCTTTTCAGGAGTGGTAATATAATTGAGACAGCAGTACAATATCATTAGACCTTAAACCATTAGTACATCGACAGAGAACTTATCAGCTGTTTTGATCATTCATTAACCAAAATACCAAACATTTCTTTGTCATGCATGATAGTAAATTGATACCTTTTGGTTTTTGAATTATGATCCAAAAACCAAGAACCATGGGGACATCACCTTGGATTTTAGAAATTGGTGCTAGGCATTCCTGCTCTTGACATTTCATAGAATAAAAATTGCAGAATAATAAAAATTGTTACTTGCAACCCTGTGTAACACGATTCAGTAAGTAAACGAAAATCACATTTCGGACACGTATTGCTCGGAGGCTGTTGATTTCCGTTGCTGTTTCCCTGGAGATGGCATCAGCTACAGTGCGTACCTCACTAACAGTAAGTGATGTCTGTCCTCAGGTACACTGGAGAACTTGGAGGAACTGTACCTCAACGACAACCCCAACCTGCACAGCCTCCCGTTCGAGCTGGCCCTCTGCAGCAAGCTGTCCATCATG